ATTAGCTTAACTTATCTCCTACACCTAACAAGATTAATGTTTTATTACAAGCCCTTTATGTAGCACTTTGTCAGAGGCTTTCTGAAAATCCAGATACAATAAATCTACACCCTTACCCTCATTTACATAAGCGGTAACCTTTTCAAAGAATGTCAAAAGATTTGTAAGGCAAGATTTTCCCTTAGTGAAACCTTGTTGACTATCCAATACAATTCTAAACTTTGTTTTAAAAGACTCTTGCAAAGCATCTTTTATCATACTTTTACAAAACCAATAATTACTGGGACAATATCTATCACCTCCCTCGAAAATAGGAGTAACATTAACTAACTTGTAATCCTTTGGTACCTGCCCACTATTTAAGGGCTTATAAAAAATAGTAGCAAGTGGCTCACATATCCAATCCTTAACCTCCTTCAAAACCCTTGGGGAAATATTATCTGGCACAGTAGTCTTAACATTTTTTTAAACTTCTCATTTTTTCTTAATAAGTTCAAAATTAATGCAGTTATATTGTTTGATCTTGTTTCCATTTATCAACTGTTCAAGATGATTAATACTGTTTAATTCTTCATCAGCAAAAAACTGGAAAACAAAAACTTGATGTTTATCAAGATACAAAATAATGCATATAAAATTCCTGAACCATACAATAGAAAGCTATAATACTCGTACTGTAATTACAGTATAACCATGTTAAATGTAATAAAACCAACAACAATATTTTGAACATACTATAAGGTGTTGTCTAACATTTAATTAAGATTTTATCTAACCCCTATAACTTGATAAAACATATAGAATTAGCAACAGCCAAAAAACAAACATAATAAGGTTAGAGAAAGTTCATTAATAACAATACGACTTAGAAAAAGAAGTTAAAACAGTGGTAAAATATATGACAAAATATTTAGCAAATATTAATGTAACTTACCTACTAATGTAGCTAATATTAACTATAAATAGTAGTCATTGTCAACAACCTGATACGGTTGCCAAAAGAAAAGGCCACTAAGCCGTTGTTGTTTTCTTACAGAAACGTCAGCCCAAACACACACCACTATTTCATAAGCTTTCAGCTCACCTCTTAATACTAACATTAGTATACTTTGAAGCTACTAAGATCATTATTTACCGACCAGTTTAAATTAAGTGCTAACATTTATCACTTCTCCTAAGCTCCGTACATGACATCTATCTAGACAATTTACTTGTTAATCCACACATACTCTTAATAATCTCTTCCTTATTATTTGCACCCTATCAGAATTTCTTGTCCAGAATAGAGAAGAGTTACTCAATAATTTATGTTTTTAAAGCCCTGTAGTGGTTCTTTGTACCCAAGTATTCCTTATCAGATTGAACAGGAATGACAAAAACGGAATCTTCCTTACTGCCTGCTACTAATATCTGAACCTTTGATAACCAGTAAGCGAGTTCTCATTCTAGTTTCCTGTGCAAATACAACACAAATTTGTCCCTAGAATTTATAAGAGAATCCACTCTTGAGAATCCTTTCCTTTCAAATTTTCATTATAACAGCTAGAGATTCATATCCTTATTGAGCGTAACTTAAAGTAAACTCACTTCTGTTTTTTTCACAAGGGTACACTAATCGTGTGTACCTTGACTGTAATGAAACCTTAGTTTAACTACATACAAACAAGTTTGATTAGTAAGATATATTAGGTTTGAGAACTGTAACTGTCTGCAAGGTATACTTGTGTGGAATTAGTTAAAATGTTAAACGTTTCCATGAAAAATGGGCTTGTCCGTAGGAATCAGTTTAATAATAGCACGATATTTGTTATTATAAAGTACATTATAAAGTACATTTTGGAACCTTTGCAATTATTATTTAAGTCCAATGATTTAAATAACTATAAGTAATTGGCCAATAATAGTTCTAAATCCTTAAATTATCTGGAAATGTTGGTTTTGTGGAGAATATTTATTTGATTAAAACCGACCTGAACAGTTTTAGAATGAAAAATACAAGTTTAAATACTGATAATGGAAATTTACTTTCACTTCAGATTTGTACAAATGGATGGACATAACAATGCATGGTTTCTTAAGTATTGATTTATTTAATAAGTTCAGAGATAAGCTATCATATGGTTCCTAATTTGAAATATCTAAGCTTTGAAGACAGGTTCAAAGATGTGAACTTCTTTTCTACAGAGCACATGTAACCCACATGATGTGGTGTGTGAACGTTGTTCAATAATTTCATCTTCATGTTGAGGTGGTTTATTTCTTGTATACTGGTGTCTGATAGAGTAGCTTTAAAGACCCGATTGATCTTCTTCTACCTTGATCATTATGTACCACCCCATTAATTATACAATTTATGTTGGTTAGAAAAATACTCTTTACCATAACTTGGTTCCTATATTGTTCTTTAAATATCTTAACAATATACTTTTATTCAATTTAACTTAAACATATATATAATGAATACCACATGTTGTACAATACTCTCGGATATAGAATACTACTAAAAATGTAGGCCTAACGTAACGAGAACACAACAAATTCAACGACAACGCACTGTCTCCTAGGCCTAACATGCGTTATTTTTTCGATTACTTATGCGAATTTTAACATACCAAATCATTATGAAACTTAAAGTTTTACCTACTGCTAATCAAAGTAAAATAAAATGAAAATAAGCCCTACAATATTTCTAAAACAACTGGTTATAATGATTAATATATTTTAACAGAACTTGGCAAACCATTATGATTTTACAAAAATTATATTCTGTTAAACTCGGAAAATCTAACACATTAATCTTATTATTGTACTAACCTATTTATAAAGCAATTTCAAAATTTATGTCAACGAGTCATTAAAACTTCCTTTGATTTCTAATTATTTTCATATTAAATTAACATTATTTCATTAGATTATTAAATCAACAAAACTTTTATCACCTGTTTGCTTCCGACTTCAGTTTAGACATCTCGCGCGCTGTACTCTTCTTTTACAGTTTTAGTTTTAACTTCAAGGCCGTGAAAATATTCGACAAGTTTCAACCAAAGGGTTTTATTTTAAAATCCATTATATGGTACAAATTTTACAACACTTTCTAAGTTTTATATTTAAGATAAAACAATAATTGCATTCATCCCAGCAAAGAGAAGTTCCATACGTACACCTTACTAGTATCAATCTAGACTAGTAGTAATACTAATAGTCTTACTATTAGCTCTTACATCATAGGTGATCAATGGTGACACGTACATACTTCTAACAATTTAACTTATATAAATAGCAACATTTGTTGCAAGTTGCCAAAGACAACGTGAGTGACTCAGCAAATAGCACCAACAACAAAAAATAACTTAATATTACATATGCGCCTATTTTGTAAATTTAAATTTAATAATTTTATAAAGTTTCGTGTACGAGTTACGAACTCGCCCCAAAATCTCAATGATAATGATGTATCTCTATTAGTATTAACCCTCATAAAACTTGAAATCGTTCTTTTGATCATATTTGTTATTACACATATTTTTGAGAATGTTTTCACACATAAAAATAATCTTCATAACATACGTTGATAAATTCAATCTTACTATATACACAAGTAACTTATTTTCATTGTCTGAGAAAAACCACAATCCCGCTAGTACCAGTACCAACATAATACACTAGGTAGCGCGACACTTGAAATACGCTAGCTCTCAACGATCAAATTGCATTTTAATCTAAATAAAATCACACAACACTATTCTGTGAGTAAAATACAATACACAACTAATAATTCATATCAGCGAATATTTTATGAAATAAAAAAATTTCTATTAAATAATAAACTCCGTGTATTTAATATATATAATTTTTTGAAAGTTTACATCTAAAATTTGTTTTTTCAAGGATTTGTTATGCAGCAAATGGTTTACATTTTTAAACAACCAAAGAATGGCTTGCCTTGAGCGTGAGGTGTTGAAATGTCGTTCTTGAATCAATGCTACTAAGCCCAGGGCAAACTCTCTGTTAAAACTGAGAAGTATCAGTAAACCTATGTTACGACAGCGAAAGTTGCGTGACGCTGGGAGCATGCGCGCTGGAGTTTCTCGAATGTTCATGAATTTGCCAGGCAGTTCGAGTGTGATTTAGATGCCCCCTTTTTAGTATATAAGCCTGGCGAGA